ACTTATTTCATCACATGGTGATGATGCTCTGATGCTGCTGATGACTGATGGTCGCTTCATTGTCTTTAAGTGTGGAACGTTCTCTTCAAAGATTAGATGGCGGCAAATGGCCGGACGGACCGTGCCGTGCACTACAGCGCGTTCAAATTTTGCCACCAAACTCTACCGTTCACCTTAAATTGCACGATGGATGGTAGGGTTGCCTACACAACAAGCACTGCTTAGCGTGACCTTGGATCCCACAGTCATCTATCTAATAATGGTTCGCATTAAGTGTTTAAGATGCGTTAAGGTGTGTGAGATGTATGCTTTCGTGGGTAGCATAGATTGAAAACCTATGCCCGACTGGTGATGTTTCAATGTGTTCACCGATTTACAGTCGTCAGTTTACGTGGCCAACACGAGTTTGCGCGACTCACGGTTGCGCCTGTATTCGTTGGGCAAGCCGGGAACGTCGGCATTTCGAAAACCGTCGCCGAATACAACACCCGTTGTCTTCCCGTAGCAAGATTCGTGGCTGGACTTACATCGCCGCAAGCACATATTCATTGTCTGTATTTACCACCCGTTTATTAATAATTAAGTGCACTGTCCCGTTCATACATGTACTTGGCGTAAAGGTATGCAATTCCATATTTTCGCGCTGTCAAAATGCCACCGTTTGCTCGCCCGGCCGTCGACGGCCAGTATTTCAAGTAGAACGACGAAACGCGCATGCGCAGTGTGTTGCCAGCATCCAGCAATCGTCCATCATTCATTCATTCGTTGTGGCGAGAAAGGTAAGCAACATTGACGATTGAATGCATTGCCTCACCATTGACCGGTAGGTCAAATCTGCCCCTGTCCGACATTCGCGATAATTCGAAAACGCCTTGAGATTTCGCTGCAGAATTTTCAGAGCTGTCGATCAATGAGTTTTACACGTTTACCAAAATAACAACTATGACACCATAATAGATCAAGCGTAAGTGACGTCAGAGTGACGCCATTTTTGCCGATTTTTTCAAAAAAGCGCATATCCGACCACGAATTGGCTCACAAGCCCAGCGAGAGAGCATATTTTACATCCGTTAACGAGAAATGTGAGCTAATAACTTCATCATTCATGTGCCTTGTCGTTGTGTCGTTTCAATACTGCACCTCGGGATATTGGCATGTCAATTCACAGCAAAGTATTAATAGAAGGTACACTCAACATGTTTTGTCTTAGACTCAGAATTTTAGAAACATGAAAGACTGTGTCCTAGATACGACTGTGAAGGATGCCTGTACCAAGTTTCAGGCAACTATCGGAAACATGGTGACAAAGTGATCGCTTCAAATGTGTCACAGCGCACGTTGCTCATATCCAGGTGGGCCCGGGCCGCGACGGCGGGCGGCGGGGCTCAGGTCTGCCACAGCGACGCGGTGACGGGGCGGTAGCAGCCGTTCATCAGTTTTGCACGCAAACTAACGATACGTGACTTGCGGCGGGTTGGAGATGTTACATTACGCTGTTGGCAAGACTGAACCGTCGAAAACAACGCGAAAATTGATCGCAGCTGCTTATTTACCACTAAGTTCATCCATTCAACATTGACCTTAGACTGTTAATGGACAAGTAAACTATTTTGCTGACTTGTCTGATACCCATGATTGCAGCTAAGCTCTTCCACTTAGCGGTTAGATGGTTCAAATATGACAGAAATAAATATACTAAAATAGACAAACATACCAAGATTTCAGCTGTCATTTGCATGACACTATCATTTGAGCCTTAATTTGACCTTGAACGGCAACCTCGAGAGGGCAGGATTTCTTGACGGACGCTACTTCCCTCGTGTTGAATATTTTGGTGCTTGCGGATCTGAAATCGGCCGGTAATTTTTTTGATGACATTGAGTTCCACGTCCTTTGAGCCTGAATCTGATGCTGAAAGATGACCCTGAGAGGTCAAAATTTTTGACGGACGCTGGTTATTGCGCTTTTAATTATCTTGATCACTGAAAATTTAAAATCAGTCGACAGTTTCTTAGTTCTTTCGAGTTCTTCATCATCTGAGCCATAGTTTGACATTGAAGGGTGACCTTAGAGGTCAGGACTTTTCGACAGGCGCCAGTTCATGCACTGGTGAATATCTTGATGGTCGGTTACCTTTGGTGACATGGGTCTCCCTGTTCCCCGTATCGGAATTTGATGCTGAAAGGTGACCTTGGGAGGCCAGGATTTTTTGACGGACACTGTTCTTGCGTTTGTGAATATTCTGATGCTTGAAAAGCTGAAATCGGTTGTTAATTTTTGGCCATATGAAGATCCCCATCCTTTGACCTTGCTTCTAACCGTGAAATATCGCATAATAACGCAAAGTAAACGGCATTTCGGCGATGTAATTGATAAAAACGCACCGTAATTGATCATATAACGTGTTTCTCAGAGAAATCGGAACTCAGAACTCGGAATCGCTATGCATAACTTTGAAATTGGAACTCGTCACAGAAGAAATCGCTAAATGAATCGGCAACTTTACTGACAAATTTGACCATTCAGCTATTCGTGTCTGAAGTACGGCAGCGCGACTTGTCGCATCAGCGGACAGCAGCTGCCTTTCAACAATCCTCCCACGCGTTACATGGAAGCCGTCGCGACCCTGCCACTCGGGCCCGCAAGTATATGGCGGCGGGGTGACTACGCTCCCGTGTATCACTGCCTTGAACAGGAACCAGGATTTCCGTTCCAGAAATCTGTTTCATGAGGCTGCTAAGCTGCTGACGAAGACGGAGCACAACACACAGAACCGATGTCACGACAGAGTTATCCCGCTGAAATTCCTGTTCCTGTCAGAACACAAACACCCAACAACACGCATTTTTAAGAGTATTCTCGTTTATTTCTACTGACAAAACCTCACGGCTGGAATTCGCATCACCAATGGCACAAGGCTAGACGTTAACGCCGTCCGCCCAGAGTAGATCCGCGCGTTGTGCGCCGCACTGTGCGTGGCGCGCCAGGTTTAGTGCAACATCCGCCACTGGGCGACGTCTGGTCCAGCGGACAAGGCCACGGTACGGGCGGAGCGATCACGAGTCAGACCACGAAGCTAGTCCTCGTCCACGGCCAGAGCACCGCCTACTCGACACGCCGACCCACGTCGTGCCTGTCTTCTGCTCTTTCTCGTAAGGCCACCTATCTCTGTCCGCAGGGTGGATCACAAAAACCGCCACCGTCCGCAGGCCAAAAGACCATTGACATCCTCTCCGAGTCCGGACACACCGACGGACATTGCCACAGACCCACAATCACCCGAAATCGACGGACACGGCCACACTTCGGAGGTCGGGCTGCTGGACAACCAACATCCCACAATCGTATAAGGTTGGAAGGTGTTGCGATATTCATATGATCAGCGCAGACCAAAGGATATTGTCATCAAGTCGCTCTACGGAAAGTAGAGATAACCCGTTCACTTTCACTGCCAAGTCCAAGTATAGCACTACACATCAACTATCAGGTATCAGTATGCTGCGACCTACCCACAGATCTAACGACGGATTCGGAAACTGGCACAAGGAGATTCAAACACCATCACCGTTTCACGTTAAGAGAAGTCTTAGAGTATCGCCAAACAGAGAATCCCAAGACGCTGCAGGCAGCACCGAACGGAATGTAGCACAATCCACAGGCCGCACGTGGTGGATGTCATCGACAACACCTGGTACAAGCGTAAAGCAAGCGCTCTTCCGAATCACAGCATCACGCGAGCATGCACCTGGAGAGGCGCGTAGCTGGTCAGAAAAGGCGCGCAGCAGACCCGCAGAAGACACAGACCAGCTGGAGCTGGTGCGGTGGCGCGGAGCGCACACCAGGGGCGAAACAGTGCGGTCCCGTCGGGCGCAGCGTACCACCCGGCCGTGTGTGCCTACAATCGGCTCGCCCCGCGCCGCGTACAGGATGCTCTTTGGACACGTCCTGGCGAATATCGACGCAAAATCCCTCATTTTCAGAAAGCCCGTTGACTAGTTCAAGCGCAGGTAATAAGTACATCGATGTCCCACGGAAGCGCTGGGCCGTGCGAGTACAAAACGCACTGGTCGAAAAGAAGACGAAATCGGGCACTACAGGAGAACGCATACTCTAGCTAGTGCAGATCGTTCACACCAGCATAGTACGAGGACAAACAGATCATGACAATAGACGAAGTCCCCATGTCCCGTAATCGTGCCTCCATGGCATCAGCCTCCATTCCATAAGCACACAACTTTGTTGAAGTCATCATCGTTCACGAACTACACTCCCCCTGAGCATTCCTCGAAACAGTTCATAGGAAGTCTAAGCTTGGCGATCTCCGGAACGCTCCGAGTCCTTCCACAAGACGCTAACAGGACGGCAAAGCTTCCACAACACAGCATCAAGGCCAAACGACTGGTTAGGCGCCGCACCGCTGCCGCCACGGGCAACAGACAGCACAGGTGAGATTAGCAGACGAGCTGAACCGCGACGCACGGTCACGCGTGGCGCCGTGCGCCGCAGATCGCTCACGAGCTTCGCACAGACAGGCATGCAGGCCCTGTTGTGCGCCGGACCAGGCGTCGCCTCCTACCCGTGTGAAGACAAAGCGACGCATGGTACTAACCCTGTTCCGTTGGCTACAGCGACAGCGAGCCCTGGCACAGCACCGCGCTACCTCCTGCTATCTACAAGCGCACTAGCTAATTGTCGGCGCGTGCTATCTGCCGATCGCCGGGCTCGGCCACGCGGGCAGCGTGGCCGAAAAACACCACTCGATATCACAGCTCGCACGGGCACCGCGGCTGGCAGGGAGGGTGCCGGGCGTCCCGCACCGGTGGCACAACTGTCATAGGCGCGAGGCATCGCCGCCGGCGCCCGACGGCCGGTCGGGCGAGCCCTGCTGGCGGCCCGTTGGCCGCGGCGGGGCGCGCTCGTCGCGTGGCGTGACGTGGACCGAGGAGAAGGCGGCAGTCAGCCGGGCCGGTCGCGCACGGTGGCGCTGAGGCCGGCGCCGGTCACCGGCGGCATTTGACCAGCTTCCTCGGCTTGTACGGTGGGGAGGCGGCTGCGCATGCGGCCTCCAGACCGGGCTCCTGCAGCCGCCGCCACATGGCACGCAGCTCGTCCGGCGTCAGCTCGTGCGCCATCATTACGGCGTTGAACTCGCACGGCTCCATCGCGCGCCGCCAGAAGGTGAAGCCCACGTGGTCGGTGGGCCGCACGCCCAGCTTGCTGGCGCAGATGCCGGTGAGAAACACGTCTTCCAGGTGGTAGAGGGGCGTGGTGAGCGCGGTGCGGTACAGTCGCGCCGCTACAATCGCTGCCCAGCACGTACGCTGTACCCGACACGTACGCCGGGAAGCGGCGGGCGGCGAACATGTACCGCGGCGAGAAGTACTTCGAATACTTGTCCAGCCTCGGCTCGGCGTTACAGATGAGCGCGCCGGTGATGAGGTCGGGTCGTCCCTCGGCCTTTAGGTACGCGTGCAACCGGGGGATGTTGACGTACATGTCTTCGTCTGCCTTCAGGATATAGTTCGGCTGACAGCTGGAGGTGACCCACTTGAGCATCATGACAGTCTTGAGCGTGAGGTTACTGTAGACGTCGACAAAGTCCTGCTGCACAAGATCGTCGTGCACCTCGCTCTCGGCAATCAGGTTCTCCACCAGCGAGCCGTTGGCCGTCGTGCCGACCAGGAAGCGGATGACGACATCGGCGGGCAGATTGGCCGGCGCTCCCCACGTCAGCCGGATGGCGTTCCGGGCCTGCCGGCAGCGGCGCCGCTAAGCCGGACGCCGGGGAGCATGGTCGACGGCCCCACACCCATCCGGCAGAATGAAGGGGAGCACAGACACGAGCACACTGCGGCAGGGACACAGTCTGGAGCGTGCGCAGCGCCAAAGGCAGCGCGCCGGCCAAGTTGCACCGCCTGTGGGGGATACCAGAGCACGAGGCACACCGGCGCATAGGAAAGGTTCGGAGGCAAGGCGGCCGGTACTGACAACAGGTCGCTAACTCCAGCTGGAGGGAGTAGCGCACCGCTCTCGTCCATTGCCATGGCCAGTCGCTGCACAAGAATGGTGAGGACAAAACCCGGGCGCCATGCCATACGGGGACATAGAGCACTGCATCTAGGCGAAATTGCTGTCTGCCCGGAAGATCTCAGACAGCACTGGAAAGGCCCGAGCCGAGGAAGGCTTCCGGTGCTGAGAAGCGTGGAATATGGAACATAATGTAAGGAGCAGTGAAGGGTTTGGCTGCAATTTGGCAGCAGTCGCGTCGGTAGTTGTCGCAAGCGCGCCAGTGGTCCAGTGGACCAGCGAGTCCTTGTTAGTGTTCCTTCAGTGCTTGTGATAGCTATCAGCGCCCACAGAGATGTATGGAGGCGGATGGCTTGGTGATGCCGCATGGTGTGACTGATGGGGTCGCATGGCGAGGTTGTCCGCTAATCAACCACGTGACGCGGTGCTGAAATGTTCTTGAGCGATGCCCGAGTTCGGCCCGCCGTAGGCTGTCTGGTGAAGTTCACGCGTAGTTCTGGACTGGGGGGGGGGGGGGGGGGGGTCTGGGGTTTCGCTTCTGTGGGCTGGTGCGGATGGTTGGCTTACCCGAGTGTTTTTCAAGGGTGGCACCAATAAATTTAAAGGGAAATGTTCACATTTGAAGATACTGAAGCAAGCATCAGATATGATGCAATAAGCTTACTTATAACTATTGATATTTTAACTGAAAAAGACTGCCCTGGACCGCGCAATTCTCTGCTTAGTAAATATGCTCCTCAACGCGTTACGGCTTTATTACGTCATCGCACCTTGCACGACATTGAGCTAATTGACGGCCGTTATATTTGGAAATCACGCTCACGAACGTCAGATATGAACACCTCGACAATTATGTTTTCTTGGCCTTGATCACCGCCTGGCTTATGGAATGACAGGATTTGAATGACGTTATTACGATGCCATGAATGCCAAGGTGACCTTAAAACACACTTTTCCCGATATATCTGTCCCAATTTTCGCCGGCGTGTAGCTCAGGAAATTTGAGCTGAGGTCTCAAGAATGGCAGGATTGTGAACAGCACCAAGAACTCGTCAAGATGGCTATTTCAGTGCGAAATCCCATATCAATGTGGAACATTGACACGGGGATTGTTATCACTTTCAGTGTTAAGAGGCTGGCGTGTCCCAACAATAATGTGCGTGGGATGTTCCTCGATACTGCCTCTTCTAACCCTGGATGACAGAGTGGAGCTGTGAAGATGGAGCATACGTCGCAAAGAGGACGTCAATATCCATGTGCCACACCATGGCGACATCGTGCACACGCCCTGACTACCCTTTTTGGCGGCGACCAGTCTCCGACCACCATAAACAAAATGAATTGGGACGTTGAGCCCATAAGACAAGGACTTGCTGGACCAAAGGACCGAAGGCTTAATAAACATGGTGATGGAAATCCTCAAGGCTGCGAGCATATTACAGGGAATGCGCTTCGATGACTGACGAGATGTCGGAGAACCGAAGACGGTTCGCAGAGTGCTCTTCTACGTTAGGGAGTGGCTGAACTGTACTGAAGCCCGAGGCCCAGCGCCAAACAGCCTCAGGCGCTCCACGGACCCGTGCATGCTCTGCGTGACCTGGAAGTAAGCCGAGGTGGCTATACAGGTGTGCACCATGCATGACTGCCACATGTGCCAGGAGTTCACTCTCATGCTTTGAACAGTGACGAGACTGACGAAGGGGCAACCACACGTTTGGCGGAAAGCACTCACCGAGCTGACAATCAAGCGCCACAAATTGCAACCTAGCAGCACCTGTTTGCCCTCGTTTCTAACAAGTTTCGAACGCGAATCACGCTGTATGCCAAATAATACAGGAACTTAGCAGTGGCACGAATTATGACGGAATCGAACAAGGGAATCAAATCGGTGAATCTGGGAATCTGGAACTAGGAATCGAATACGTTAAGAAAGCGCCATGACCGAGTATGTGAATGCAAGTTAACAGTATAAAGTCACCGATAACTACGCAGGAAAACCACGAGAAAGGGTCAAAACACACGCACTTAACAGCTTTTGGTTTCTGCAAACAAGGCACTGATTCGCGCGGCACCTCTCGGCATGTTCAAGCACTACAGGTGAGTCCGCTCGTCAGCTACGGTGGCAATTTCGCGGACCAGTTCGGAAGCCACTCTCACGACATAACTACGTTCCATAACGCAATCAACCGATGGCGTATTGATGAGCTTATCCGAAAAAGCAAAATTTTGATTTCTAGAGCAGCCTTTGCACTTAAAAGCATACCAAAGTTACAAGTGAGTTTAATTCACCATACCTGGTGCTTACCTCAATATCTTCAAACGCAGAGTATCCCCTTAAAAGACCGCCTCCACAAAGCCAGCAATCAGGCTTCCCCGACATGTCCGGCTCATCACCCAAGTTTCGTTGCGTAATCCGGCAATACATATACCAGCGAAAGAGTAACAGAACCCTTCAGTTGCCAGGCTGACTGCGCCAACCTACTAACCGGGAAGTTTTTCACGGCCGACGAGACGACGACCAGCAGGAAGGGCCGACAGCCACTGGCGCTGTGTCCCGCCGGCTGCAGCAGGGTAGTGTTGTCGTCGGGACGGATATAGTGACTGGTGTTGCGGTTCACCTCCGGGCCCCAGTCAAACCGCGGCACTGGCCAACAGACATGGGACTGTCACGGTCACACCGGCCACCGACGCTCCAGCCAACCCGGGGCGGCCACCAGCAGTGGCGACGAAGGAATTGAGCACTCTTTATGGGCTTGGTTTTCGAGTAACAACGTTTTCTTTTCGTGGTATTGGGAGCGAGCCACCTATCAACATTTTGTGCTGCACTCGCCCATATGTCTTACGACAGTCAAACTTTGTATTGGAAGAGAACTTAGCCTGTTCAATACGGTACAGAGTTTACTTATTTCAACTTATTAAAGGAACCAAAACCATAAACTTATTAAAGGAACCAAAACCATACTTAGCATCGGTAAAAGCCAAGTGACGTAGATACCTCTACTCAAGGCTGGCTAACAAAAGCGAGCAGCCTGCTCACCAACAATGAACTTCATATTTATAAGCCAACTTCAAATGACGTCAATGCTGCCCTTGTATTGCATCCGGGGAGTGAGAGTGAGAGCGAGAGCGAGAGCGAGAGCGAGAGCGAGAGCGAGAGCGAGAGCGAGAGCGAGAGCGAGAGCGAGAGCGAGAGCGAGAGCGAGAGCGAGAGCGAGAGCGAGAGCGAGAGCGAGAGCGAGAGCGAGAGCGAGGAGCGAGAGCGAGGGAGCGAGAGCGAGAGCGAGAGCGAGAGCGAGAGCGAGAGCGAGGAGCGAGAGCGAGAGCGAGGAGGCGAGAGCGAGAGAGAGAGAGAGAGAGAGAGAGAGAGAGAGAGAGAGAGAGAGAGAGAGAGAGAGAGAGGAGAGAGAGAGAGAGAGAGAGAGAGAGAGAGAGAGAGAGAGAGAGAGAGAGAGAGAGAGAGAGAGAGAGAGAGAGAGAGAGAGAGAGAGAGAGAGAGAGAGAGAGAGAGAGAGAGAGAGAGAGAGAGAGAGAGAGAGAGAGAGAGAGAGAGAGAGAGAGAGAGAGAGAGAGAGAGAGAGAGAGAGAGAGAGAGAGAGAGAGAAGAGAGAGAGGAGAGAGAGAGAGAGAGAGAGAGAGAGAGAGAGTTTGACAATCTTTACCGTGCTTCTCTTGAGCATGATCGGGATGTAGCCGATGAGACAGACCACAATGAAGGCGGCACAGATGGCAAACAGTGCACGCATGGAGCACGTGACCCCCGTCCGGTGAGGCCGGCCGGTCCCGGACGGCCGCACCCTCCGCATCGCACGCCACTCTGGGGAACAGCGCAGATTCAGGTCAGAGGCCAGGGACAGGGGGAGAGGAGCTATGGAACTCCCACTGGAGAACAGCAGACAATTACCCAGCAAGTCACCAGGATCAAAGTGGCACTTACTCAGTGCCACTTACAGTGGCACTTACTAAGTGGTCAGTCAATGAAAACTGCACTATAGCGTATCCCAGAGAGGAATGAGGCTGACTCCCTCATATACCTAATTTCCCTTCCTCTTGTTTAGGAATGATATTCCATATATTCCCATGACGTGATGTACATTGTTGCATTACGGTGGAGATGGTGAAATTTAGGCAGTGGTGGTGGTTTCACCATGGGCTATGGCAGGTGTTGAGATTATTGCCCATACAAAATAACATAATGTGGAGACATAAATCACACAAATGCACTAACTTATCTGCTGCATGTGCACTCATTACACCCTTCAACAGCTGGGACTTAAGATATTTCAAAAAGGTTTACTGAAATATGGATTACTCAGGCCTGATTTTTGCTTGCCTTGTCAATGTGACATTGACAAGAGTTTATCACATCTTTTCATGCCCATGCTTAAGTAAACTATCCTCTCTGAGGTGTCAGGGGTCTTGGTGCCCCCTGGGCCAGTATTTTTCTTTAATCACGATAGATGGTTACTCAGAGAGTCAAAATTGGCATGCCTTCACTTAGCTCTGCCCTTCTCTCACCTCAGAAAGTTCAAGCTATGCACCTGTTAGCAATCACTAAGTGGACATCACCTGTGAAAATATATGGCCATTATAATGGCTATTTGTTGCTTTGAAAGAATAAATAGCCATTGTAGTTAAAAACAACCTAATGGCATAATACCTATATACTAATTGCTATTAAGCCCTTGTAGGACCAATCATAGGTCTGCATTTGTTCCTTCAGCAGCAACAGCTGCTTACTTGATTACCTTACAATGAATGTTCACCAGTCTCAACCCTCCCCCAGCACACAGTGTGACTATGTGCAGGTGCCTAAATTTGGGCATGCCTTCACACTGTCCAAGGCAAACTCCCCACTCCAAGTCCTGCACACTTAGGGAACTGCTTTATAGGCACCAAAACATCCACAGAAATGGGATTGCAACATCCTGACTGATCAACCTAGAACAGTTGACTGAAACATTACAAAAGGTTTAAAATAATGCAAGTTATATAACATATGGAATATGTAATAAAATCTACCAAATGGTTAAATGTATATCTCTCACACTAGTAAAAGTCCCAGTTATGTGATACTTAACATTTGCATTTCATACCTGATAATTAAAAATCTAACATGTTACTTGGGAGATTGCATATAATCCAGCTCCTGTGAAATCCAAACATGCAGACCTTGACCTAAACACATGGCTTCTTGTGATTCAGACTAAAACCCGACCTTCAGTCTAACAGGCTGTCACCACAGCGTCAGATTAGGCAAAGGTGTCTACGACCACAGCTGAATTAGAGAATCCCCCTTATTACATCCTCTCATCATATCATATATCATATCATATCACATATCATAACAAACATATCCTCTCAAGCCAAATGGTCAAATCATGGAAGCCCTGGTTACATGGCCTTGTAGGTAGAAGAAAATTGATCCCAGGTGTGAGTGATGTTTGGGCTGTATTTTCACACAAGGTTTTCAATGTTCTCATACTTGCTCCCCTCCAGGACTGTGTGCAAGTCTGGTGGGTGTGACCATCCCAAGCACTTTGTGAGGGTGCCTTTGCTCCATGCGTAGCCCCTTGTCAAGGAAAATATATAGGCTTGATGCATTATCACCCTCTGATTTCCTTTTCATGAATAGCAAAAGAAAAATACCACCATATATCAAAACGTGCTATCATTTCAACAGCATTAACAACCATCGAATAACGCCCAACGGAGGCAGGCCTTGTGTGGCAGGCATTTCCCTTACCCTCAGTATTCGTGATATTACACCCAAAACATAAGGCACAGCCCAAATGACAGGGTCCACGAAATAATACAAACCAGCACCACCCGCCATAAGGCGCCCGCGGCCTATCCGCGCCCTTCTCCGGGCCCTACAGGGCCTCGGAGTTCCAGCACACCACCCCCCAAGGTCGCGCGCGCTTGCTCAACCCAAGCGTTCACGGCCTCGATCAATGATGCTTGGGCCCAGTTTCTCAAAGCGTACGCTGTGCGAATACGAGCTAGCTGATGATGACGTAACTGGTCAATCAATCCTCGTTTGTCATTTTGCTGGCCATGTTAGGCACAGTTTTGCACATAATTGTTTCATTCGGCTTGAATTTCGCCGTCTGCGCGACTCGAAACACAGATTCCTCATTTCTTGCGCAATGTTGTCATGCTCACCTGCCGGATTCCTCACCGATACCAAACCGCAACAAGGAGATTCCCAAAGCCCAACTTGCGTGAGAGCAACAAGCGCCGTGACTGACTCCGTAATTCATGTTGAGTTCCGACATGGCTTTGAATTTATGGCTCGCAGACGTTGTATTATGCATGCTGTTATGAATACCTCTCTAGAAATGGTGGCTGTACTCACTAATAGTCGACCTAACAAGAGAAAAGCTCTTTGGAAGTTATACGTCTCCCGGCAATAGACATATTTATTTGGACTTTCATTGTTTTTGGTCCTACCATGGGCAGCAAACGTCACTTTACTGGGATTCAGCAAGAAGCATTCATGCATTCACGCCGTCTCATGCATGCTTGTCACTAGGCAGAGTGGTCGTCGCGCACAGTTTTGTACAGATTGCACAGTACAGATTATGTGCAACGACCAGAACCCTTTAATCATGAGCTAAACCGTACAGCCATACACCACACGTACCTCGGAATTTATCCCTTGCAAACAGTAGCCACCTGGTGTAAGTCTCACCGGGGGATCACCACGTAGCCCCACCCTCTACCGCCACCGAATTATGCCGACATCACCCTTCTGCCCGCCCGAATTTTTCATCGGCTCACAATACGCCATCGCTGCCCGCGAGAAGCCCTTGCCCTTGCCCTTGCTTGCGTAGGCTCACCTCCATTGCTATCCGCAGGGTTTCATTGAGTCAAGCATCTGTGACGCATTTAGCCCGTCATGAGAAAAGTTCGATTCAAGTGGTGGAAATTCACAGTCGCCCCGAGATGTTCAAGGTATATGAGCTATGCAAGTTTAAAAAGTTAACACCAAAAACATGGACCTGGCTACGACGCGTCCTTCTTCATGGCACAACATTAAGGCCGCACACATTATTCATTGATAAACTGTTTCCCTACAGACGGTTCATTAAAACGCATCAAGCGATGCCAGGCAGGGGCCAGCACGTCATTTAGCATCACACACTAGCGACATTTTTGTATACAGCCTTGAACAATATTTGTATACAGTCTGGAGAAAAACTAAAATGTCTGGACAAGAATACGCAAGAAAAAAGTAAATGCCGCGTGTCAGATGCGGACACAGCATTGAAACCATAGTCTAAAGCAAGAAACTGAGTAAATGGCAGCTTTTGAAAAAATTGTGGCATGGTCGCTTTTGGAACTGCTTGTATCCGTTATCAGGGTACCATGTCCTGTGTCGGAATGCATGTTGGCTTCTAGATGATCCATGAATGGTGACTGGGGGTGCACCCACTTTGCACAAAGCGTAGAAATTCATCGGTGAGGTGACGTTTCCTGTCATCTCATGCATTCTGAAACATTTGGTACCAAAGTCGGAAACATAGGAAAACTAGGGGGTCGCGTATCAAGTGCATCATTGGCAACTTTCTCGAAAAATGCGGCTAAAATCGGGCAACTTTGCTTCCAAGTACGTTAACACTCGTTGCATGGATATGCAGCAGCCAAAACCGTGTATCAGCCCAGGCCTTCATTTCACATCAGTTTCATTAATACACCCTGGCTAGTTGATCTTAAGGTCAGCTGAAGTGTCAAATCTCCTCCGAAATGACGTACTTCAGCATGTGTAGATGAAAAGCGCTCATGCAGGCGCTGGGGTTCCTCATCACCTTTCCATATCACAGCTTTGCAACTGTTGGTGCCCACACTTGACCATACATACATGTTTGATCTAAAGGCTACGTTAGACATATCTGACCTAACCCGACGTTGCAAAAATGTATGTATGTCACCCATCTTGGGCGCTCGTCCCCCAGCTCAGACAATAAGGGAGTCAATTGGGTCCTGAGGGAGGGGAGGGGAGGGGATGGGTAGGGGAGATGTCCAGCCCAGGGTTTCGGGGTGCTCTTTCACTCTCAGGGTATCCTTATAGACTTTGCGACATATTTATAGACCACATGGCATCGTTTCGGCCCTCGAGCCGTGTCCTAACCTTCCGCCAAGAATTGGCGCGCCTATGAGCTTTCATGACCATTACACGCCATGTTTCGTTCCGCCCTGTGCCAGGCGCACCTTAAGGGATGTTCTCCACACTCTCGAGAGCTAGGTCACTCCTGTGGCACACGCACCAGATGGTGATCAGGTCACGTCCCAGCAGGTCATTGAGCCTTTTCCAGAGACCACCGCTACGACCCGTGTTGGCGCTCTTTCCGTCCGTGGTCGAGCCAACCAATTTGTCGAGAGGCAGATCCAGCCCCTCAACAACAGTTTTGACCGTATCTAGTAGACCTTTTGTGCCATCTCCTTCCGGTTCCACCACGCTTAAAATGTAGGTCTGCAGCTCAGCGTCAGCATCGACCACTCTGACAGTGACGAATTTGTTGTCTTGCTACCGACGGTCTATACTTCCGTCGGTTTGTAACCTGTACACAACTCCAGCGGCAATCTTGGCGCCAATCTTGCTCCGCTCTAGGTTGGCGACGACGCTGGGCATCTCCCTGTACGCATCCGGATCTCTGTTGTGAAGAGCTGCAGGAGTTGGCTCTATTGGCTACAGGTCCACTTCCCAACCACCGTCGCTTACAGCTGTCCAGACTCGCTGCTCGTGCAGCGCCGCGAGCGAGCGGGCTGGCCATGACCAAGCGGCCAGAGTCTCGTGCAGGCTATCGTTGTAAACAGCAACGGCGAACTCCAGAAGCGTCTTGGTGACACTAGCGGCAGTTCTCTTGAGGATGGGCATCCATGGGTGTTTCGAGCTTCCGCTATTCCACTGCTGTTCCAGGTTTTTCGCATCCACAGCAGCAGCATACCATTTTCCGTGCACATGATCTACCAAGCTCATCAGTTTCTCCTTGCTGTCCGCTCTGACGCCGCTGGCCACGTAAACCCGCACGTTTACCGAAGCCTTGGCTCCACCTCGTGATTGGCGCAGATGGTGCACACCGGAGTAGCTCGCTTCCTGCCCCTTATCTGCCGTTTTTTTAGAAGGCAGTCGAAGGCGTTCAACAACCACTGAGCATTCAGTTTGGCTCCATTGTACCACTCGTCAGTTGTCGCGCTGCGCTGGTTTGGTTCCGCTGCAGTGACAGGGTGCGTCTCCGAAGCAGTAGGGTAGATCGTCGAAGCGGCAACAAGCGCTCCAGAAGAGGCAGGTTGAGTATACCAGGCGGAATCTAGGAGCAGGGAAGTTGCAAGGATTAGGACTGACCACCGAACAAGAGAGAACTCTCACCAAAGGACGCAAGGATACTAAGACAGGCGCTTTCTGACTGCATGTATCAAGTTGCCAACTTTTGTTTTCTGTTGATGAAAACCGGGATATTATTTTCGGAGATATCATGGCACTGGCAGCAATGCAAGTGCCAAGCAAGTGGTTTCCTCCTTTGTAGGGAGTTTGGGGTCCAACCGTGTGCCGCGTCCTGTTTAAACAAACATCCTGATAAAAAAGCACGACAACCCTCGTACACATTCTACATAAGCGTCAGGTTTTCAGGGCATAAATATCTCGCCGTAGGTCATTTACACCAGGGTCATCACCACACGAGTCACTAAACATGATTACGAGTTTTGTTGAGTTTTGTACCAATACACCTCCCCATCCCGTCAAGGCTCACATACTCCTCACTTTTCCCTTGACACCTTTCCACACCTATGGATTTCTGATTATTTCGATATTTTGCAAATCGCATGCAAAATTTCAGTTAGCTTCCATCTCTTGCCTCTAGTATCCCACGAAATCCACTAGTTATAGTGAGCCACGCCATTCAGACCTACAGAATGTGGCAGGCCTTTCCCGTTTTCTTGCCCTGCCCTGTGATCGGTCCCAAAAGTAGCAACTGCACAGTGCGCATCGAGCTGGGAATGAAAGAGGATCAAATAGCTACCTTTTTCGCAAGAACCGTCGTATGTCCATCGCAGAACAGAGCGACCTGAACGATAACACCGACCGACAACGGATTCGCCAAAGGCAACTGAATTAACGTTTTTGGGGCCTTGTTTCTACCCTGTTTAGGGCCCTTCTACCCTAGTGTTATATTGCCCTGCTTCTACCAACCGGGGGTTTGCCGCCTCTGCCAAGCAACGAGTTTGTATATGCTACGTCGTTTAAGTGCATCAGTAAAAAAGCCGCCGGCTGGCAAGAAGCCACCATGTTACGAAAAAAGATGCGGTGAAAAAACCATAAAGAAAAATAAAAACGTTGTCGTTTGTAATTCTGAGCTTCAGGCATGCTGCACCATTGCTGATTTCTCTACTCAGGCAGCACATTACCGTTTTTTTACTTATCTTTATTTGACATCCCACGGGGGAAGGCTAAATTAGTTTACTGGGAGGGGGGGGGGGGGCAATTTCGGTCACTGTGGGGGCATTTGTCCACCCCCCTTCCCAATAAACATGTTATCCGAGGCCCCGTGCTCGGGTTGGGGGTCAATTTAACCCGCTCTAAAGGTCCTCCAGAATGGTTTCCGAATGGCAAAGCGTCGCCGCGCCAAATTTTGCATAGCTGTAAAAGACTGAGTAGTGGATCGCTTGATATAAAACATTAAGAGGCAATTTTCAAGGTTGCTGACCTATGGCAGGTTAAAGTCAAGCCATGAATTCAGTGAGAATAATTTCTAGGGAGACGCTCATTCTAATGCAGCAACGGAGTGTTACACAAAGCTATACATATCTGAGATAGCTTCCTGAGCAACACAACAATTGGATGAACAAATTCCATTGACCTAGAATCAGGTATGAAGGTCAAACAGAGATAAAAACCAACCTGTTTTATTACTGTAGTGCTTGTCGTATGTGGTAGCTTCTGCTGGTCATTTTGAATTTATTAATTACATAGACCACATTATAAATGTTACATTGACTTCTAAGGGTCAGAATAGGTCACTGACCCAAAATGACCCTCGTCAACATTCAGTTTTTAGGAGCATACTGCCCAGCGTAATCTGTGACGCTTATTCAAATGCAGAATTTAAAGCAGTCTTGTATGATTTTGGTCACCATGAACTGCGAAAGGTCAAACAAGATCACTGACCTTAAATGAGCACCAGTGCACTTTTGCTTAAAACAGGTTTTTATGTTCTGGGGCACTTTGGACACCAATCTGGAGTTTGACCCTTTTTGACCTTATTTGACCTGAAGGTTATGACCTAGGAGTTTTAAAGTTTGCCGCATATCGGCCAATACATGCAGGCCATTTCACATACATGCCAATACACCATATGAATTTTGTGTCTCTAGCTTTCTTCATTTCTTAGATCTCAGAAGTGAGTCAAATGACCCCCCCCCCCCCCCAGCCCAGCGAAGGATATTCAACTGGCCACCAGCGTGCGTGTTAAGTTAAAGTCTATTTAATAAGCAATACCAAAGTTAGAATTGTGAATTGCCTTACGTTAAAACAACGTGGGATACATTCGCTGAAAAAGCAAATTGGGAAGGTAAGACGTCGGGCGCTTGGCTCGCCCCCCCCCCCCCCCGCAATCATTCATACAAATTGACAACCCTGCTGCCAAGCATTTGTAACAGGAGGTCCGCAGAACCCAGCCTAACTCGTAAGAACTGTGGAGAAAGGCCTTGAATTACTGCACAAAAGGTTCACACACAGTAGACTGAAGGAGAACCCATCAAGATCCAATACGCAGGCAAAGGCGCTTTGGAACGGGACAACGCACCGGAACGCTCTGAGCATTCGCTAGCCGCATTCATGCATCTGCATGTACATGCACCAACGCTTCAGACGACACCCTTGCAACCAGCGTCCACCGAATGCCTACTGACACCGGCAAATGCATGAACGGAGAGAGCATGTGTCCCGACAGGTACAAAACCAGTGTATTACGGGCTCACATGCACCATGCCCTTGAACATTGCTCATCATGGCTCCTTGTACAACAGGAGCTTAGGCAAGTTAAGCAAATCCTATCCAACAGAGATTACGACCTACGTACTGTGGAAGATCACATCAACCAGACCACGTCCAAGTATCTGAAGTGGTTTGGTTTTTGGATTAGAGCCCTTTCGACCAGACATGATCATTTCAGGGCTATGGAATGAAGGCAGATGGTTAACGATGGGACAGACGTACGCGCGCTTGGAGGCCAACCGCCGAGCTTTAACCCGCGCATGCGCGGTTACCCGGTCGGGGTCCCCCTTCGCACGGGGCTCTCGGCCCAATCGTGGCTGACGCGTGCAGCCTGCCCCGGACGAGCGGAGTGTCGCAAGGACGCAGGATGAAGCAAGATTCAGGATGAAAGGGACGGATGAAATCGGACGGACGAAAGTATCTGAAGTGAAACCAAAAACAGAACATCAGAATACAAACCATCTGTTCTTTAACAAGTTCCCCGGCTATAAGGCTGACCAAAAAATCCCCGCAAAGCATTGTTCATTACCATGGCCCCAATCAAGTTTTTTGCCAACAATAGCCAAATTGCCAATGACATCATCTAACTTAACCTCCATTACCGGAGTCCAACCGCATGCTCCTTGATCGTGCAAAATAAAACTTCGCGTGAATCGGCTCCACTAAAAAACTACAACGTCATATATCACCATCAATCCAGGATAGGAGACTGTGCCCTTCTATCTTATAATGCGTATATTGGTCACATAGCATCGACAGTATCCAGACGCCTGACCATGCAGCTGCAAAACGGCGGCCCACGCACACACGGAGACCCAACACAAACCCACCTGACTCGCTAAATGCTCAGTAACACAAGTCATCGCATGCCCCACATCGAGACATGGACTTGTCGCTTTAACAGTAATACGTATCCGCGAATGGGACCCCCTCATTAGCAAACAAGTGCGTGTCTAACCCTCAAGGCCACCATTAGGGCGCAGAGCGCAGGGCCGTCGAGTGTTTGACAGATGAGCGTTGTTACCTTTCAATGGCGAGTACATGTGAGGCGCAAATGCTCGTGTCTGTGTTGCGATATGCATTTAGTGTGTTTGCACCATACTAGCATAACAAAAAAACTGATGCATGTAGACATGAGATCCATGTTAGCATGGGCACGAGAAAACGAGAGTTTTACAAGCACGCGATTAGATAAGACAGTAGTAATCAAGGCTCTATAACAAGGCCTCAGCAGTCAAGGGAGGTAGTCACCAAGGGAGGTGCGCTCCAGAATCTTAAGCATTACAAAAAAGCATCATTGTTTCTAAACCCCTGCTGCGAATTCGGACGTCAATCTAAGGCTACGATTGGTCATAGGATTCGGCGTCATCACAGCTTTAAAACCCGAGAAACCCCGGTTGCCAAAACAATTGCTGTTTTTTGTTGCCTTGGTTGGTATTGCGCGAAATACCGGCGTCGCCAGAGATATCTGGCTGATTTAAAACATAAAAATTGGATAAGCTCAGAGTTGACACCGGCAAGGGTCAATGGAACCCAGTTGTCACTCTCCATGCCGTTTTCTTTTTATTTGAACGCTCATTTTATTTTGACGACCTATCCGGCGGAGTGATGTGATGCTGTTTTATGACCGTGCAAGTCAAAATAATTAAGTTAAGGCTAGGGATTTAAAACCACAGCGGACGTAAGAATCTCGAATCTGCCACCATGTGCCTATAATTGTTGGCTCGGATATGAGTTTAACAATGAGATAATGTTTCTTGGTTGTTATTTAAGGGATTACTATAGGAATTATTACTGTGTCAGTGATCTGTGCACTGCCTGGTGTCAAACATCACTTTGGTTGGGTGATGGATGCCATAGGATGTGGTAGAATATGAAAAACGACTGAATACCACTCAAGCTATCTTGGCAGTATGACATTATTTTCAATACACTGAATATCATAAGTCGACGGAGCTGTTCAACGGGCGCGGGTAACGGCCCGTATGACACGGGCTGACATGCTGCTGGCTCCGGACCTGCCTGGCCTTGCGCCCGCAGGTGGGCGTCGTCCCACCCGTCAACGGCGCTACAATCCCGGAGCCGCCGCGCCTATCCGCGGCTACGGCCGACTACGGGTGTCCGTACGTCACAGACGGTTGTCCGCCCGGCTTCACGTTCCTGGCGCTGGTCACGGCGTCGGACGACGTAACCGTCCGGCTCACCCTTCGCGGCGAAAAGTCCTGGCCCAGGGACGCGGCCCCGCTCCTGTCGCTGCCCACCGCCAAAGGCCTGCGGGGGCTGCTCTTCGATCCCGGAGTGGTGTCCTCTCGGTATCGGCGTCAGCAAGAGCGACCATCGACAGAGCTTCCGACCAGCCTGCCCGCCAACCCTCTGGGCGTATTGCTGGTTACTCGCTGATCACACTGCCGTTGTTGCGATTCAACAGCTAAAACAAGAATTCAAGACACGGCCTGAAGTACGCAGAAGGATCCAGGAAGAACCAAGAGCCAGCTTGCATTGTGCCGTTAGATCCATTAAGCATAAGTGTTTAGCCAATAAGATGGTCAGAGACCCCGCAAGAACCTAGAGCCAGCCTGGAAATATGGGGATCCAGTAATAACCAGGATCCAGCATAAAGTCGAAGGCATCAAGAAGAACCAGAAACTCACCTTGAAGCATTGTTAGATTGCATTGCCATTTCTAGAGCCTTGGTAGTAATTATTTACATAGATAAGAGATTTCTTTAGGTATAGGTAGATAAGACATGCATTTTTGGGTGATTGCAGGCGTACGTGTGTGTTTTTCTTCGAGGACAAGGCTATTGCTTCTGCCTTATCTACGTGAATAATGTCCCTCGCAAATGCACCGAACAACTTACGTAAGTACGCAGCTACATCGACTTTGTCTAAAAGCCGTCACTAGAAAATGTCCAGTGAAGGATGAAACGCTGAGAATATGACAACACCGGACCCCGCAATATGACACTCTACATCTTTGTGTCAAGAGCTTTGGTGCAATTTTAAACAAACATCGAGAAGGAGCGAAGGCTGTCATCAGATTTATTAAGGAAACAAAAATCATCAATACCGAGTCCGCTAAGATCTTTAACACAAAATATTCCGACAGAATTAGCTGCTTCGTAAGTTCACAAATGTAAATGTAAATATATATATATATATATATATATATATTCTGCCTCGCGTGGCTTGTACATGAATACGTCTGCATGTCTAGGGGGTGATTGCAGGCGTATGTGGGTCAGCGTGTGCTTACGTGGCTGAGTGACCCGCGCATGCATTTGCGCCACTGCTGTGGCGTTTTGTTTGAAATTAGTTGTTTTGTGACCATACGCTTTTGATGATGAAATGCAAACATCTATTATAAACATATATATATATATATATACATATATATATATATATATATATATATATATAAACATCTATTATATGAAATGCAAACATCTATATACAAATCACGTCTGTTTCATGGGGCTTTGAAAGGACATACTGGACAGAATCGCCATATCATACACGAACTGCAATCACAATAGATCGTGCAAAACATGTTTTATGGCAGCTTGTATGCTCTGATCGGGTTTCAAGCGCCCGTCGTCAAGTGGAGGCATTGACCGCTAACGTTTTTTTTTTTATTTTACAATTTACTCACCGCGGAAAAAGTTATTGATGAGCGCAGCAGCAGAGTTTGAGCAGAAGCACCGACCGCACAGTTTAAGCAGAAGCATCGAAGCGCCAGCGCCAAGTTCTGCCAGATTCATGGCTGGTCGGACTGAGTCCTGACAGTCACGGTGGAATCGGAGTGAAGTCTGAACAGGGCCACTGAAGATCGGAGCAGGGTTGCATGGAGTCGGCACTCATTGAGATAATAGGCTGCCAACGTCAGTGGCGAATGAGTGCTGCGGGCTTAGCGAAATATTTTCAAATCGTTAGTTGTTCTGCTAAATCCGCACCACTTACCAGACAAATGTCTCCAACATTGAAACGTGGTGGTGATCTAGTTTTGACCGACGCCTGCAGAAGTAGCCGGGGATTGCTTGCAAGCGACACGCAAGCAGCCCTGAAAACAGACGAACCGAACAAATAAAGTCAGCTTTTTGCAGCGCGGGATCATGCACTTGCATCGGCCGTACGAATCCTAAACAGAAAAAAAGTAGGAAGAGGACTGTTCCACCATGTTACGAACATGTTGCTCATTAGGAAAAGAGAAGTAAGGCGGGATCGAAAAACGCGTCAATAATGCGGAAGGAAAGCGTATGCCAACCACATCATCCATCAGTAGAACTGCACGCATTCGAGGTGGCGCAAATCAGCGTATCGATGGAAATCTCCTAACCCTTCGCTGCAATGTATGATTCGTATCACTCCAATGACAGCTAAGAAACGCATTTGGAAGCAGCCTGATAAGTTTTAAAACATACGGAGCATTAGTAGCTCAACATTGGTCGCCGCACCACGCCGTACACATCTCCCCATCCCCCTCCCCCTCCCCCCCCCCGCCCCACCTCCACTCCTCGGAATAGTTCACCTGCAGCCTGGATCGGGTCGGTGCGACCTTACATCGACAGACACTTGTCTACTCACCGTGACGTCCCACCAAGCTATGTCAGCATTCACAGCTGTGTCACGGAGTATCGATCGACAAATGGCCGGCAATTCAGGTGGGCCAACTTTGTCGGTGCGCTCCGCCAGCCGCCCGGCGCATGCACTGCTCGCCTACGATTCGGGCCGCCGGCGCCGCGAACGCATGAGAACACGAGCCAGCAGCCGCACTCGGTGTTGAGTGTTGGTCCGCTCGCGCCGAACGTGTGCGCCCTGATTCAGCGTCTGGAGTGCGCTCGGTCGCTCGCGAGGTGTGCGCCGTGCGGTGCGGCGGCCGTGTCGCCCCTGGACTGCAGGTCAGGTCAGATCAGGCCCGCAGGACGCGGTCATGGTGCTGCGGGCGGCGGCCCGGCCGCCCGGCTATCAAGACATGTCGGTGCTGGAGCATAACGAGGCTGAAACCAGCCCGCCCATCGGCGCCAGTTACGAACGTGACCGCGCAGGTCAGTAGCCACCGGTCTAAGCACTAATTTATTTTGGCCGTTGATGTAAGGGCTGATCTATTTTGGCCATCGGTGTAATCGCTGATCTGTTTGATCATCGGTGCAAGCGTTGATCCACTCCGTCCACTCAAACCATGTCGCCTCCACGTGGGTGGTTCATTGCGCCCGCCGTTCAGTCGCGATATCGTCTCCTTTCCCAACTGCTTGACTGTTGGGTGCGTGACACCTCACCTGTCGCTGAGGACCGTGACCCGGATCAGGTCTTTTATGCGTTGTTGGTATGCTGCAGCCTTAGGCGGTCGTGCCGCGTAATCGATTTGCGCACAGTGCCGAGCCTTGATTTTGACTCCCAGACTAACCACAGGATCCCTGCCTATGCCACAGTCACATGTGTGACGACATCCTGTCACAATCAGACGCCTCATCTTATCCCAACTAGCTGGGGAATATTCTATCTCAGTGAATCAAACTCAGCGAATTTTGATCCCAACCCTGCATGACAACTAGACGGTATGACCTAAGCTGCCATGCCTTGATTCTGATCAACGGGGGTGCACGTCTGTCGCAGCTTCAGGAACTGCAACGTAGTAGAATCATTGGGTAACGCAATAGGTTGCAGTGTGTTATAAAGTTGACAGGCAGTGGTCGTGAGTGGACCCCTAATTCCTGCTGCAATCCCGTTAACACGCACGCACGGGGGTAACACGCACGCACGGGGGTAACACGCACGCACGGTCCGATCCCCGCCCGAGGGATATTTTAGAATGATTTCTGAAAGGTGTGGCAAAGCCGCGTCAAACCTTGCATTGCGGCAGGAAATTCCACAGCGAATTTTTTGGCATAAAAATAATGAGATGAACCTTGTCAGGTCCCTGACCTATACCAGGTCAAAGTCCAGTCGTGGCTGTCAGCGAAGGCAATTTCTGGGGAATCTCTGGCTAGAAAGTTCCGCTGGCGACAGCGAAGTGATAAGTGAAGCCATACTTAGTTTCTTAGGCAATTATACAATTGAATTTGGGATTAAAACAAATTTCTTTGGCATTGGACCTGGTACAAAGGTCAGACCGAGGTCAAAAGCAGCCTGTTTTTCCGAAAAGCCTGCTTCAAGCGGACGCTTTTGATGCTCATTTTGAATTTCTTGATAACCAGGACCGTAATAGACATCTTTGATGACCTTGTTAGCATTCAAAGGAATTCACGGACCTAAAATTCTTCCGACCGAATTTTTTTTTTGAGCAGTGTACCGCCTAACGTAAGCTTCGACCGTTACTGAACTTCAAAACTAAAAATTATCTCATACTTTTTTTATCACCAAGACCCTAGACAAGTTTAAAGAAGGCCCCTTGCCCTAAATGACCACCAATTGTCTCTTGCTTAAATAGGTTTCGAGGTCCAAGGCGATTACGTGAACACTTTGTTGAGAGATAATATTTTGGACATCAATCTGGAGCCTGGATTTGCTTGACATCATTTGACACGAAAGACATGACCTATCGGCCTCAAATTGCAACACAAGTGAGTTCAGATATAGGTTAGTTCACCCTGTAAAATTGGTGTCTATCTGTCTCGGTTTTTAAGACCTCAGGGGAGGGGGCTGATTTGCCCCCCCCCCCCCCACCCCACCCCCGAGTGTGAAGCATTGAACCGGTCCCCGTCTGTTCACGCGTCCGCTGTGAACGGGGACCACAGCAGTTTCGCCTGATCCTGAATCTTTTTCGAACTCATTTGATTCGGACCAAAACCACACGCAATCAACAAGTGACAGTTTCACCTCTTTCAGACTCGTTCATCATACGCGTTTAAGATCAGGGCCACGCCACTCACGCGTGGTTTATAATCTCGTGCAGACGCGAACCCTTGTTTCATCGCAAGGCCGGGACCGTGTCGGTGACGCGCGACTCCTCCTGCTCTCCCCCTCAGAAAAGTTCACCGTGGACGAGGCAGTGAGCAGCATCGGCTTCGGCTGGTTCCAGGTTCGCCTGTCACTTATGATGGGCTTCAGCTGGGTGGGCGAGAGTATGGAGGTGATGCTCCTTTCGGTCCTCTCGCCGGCCCTCCATTGCGCATGGCAGCTCTCCAGCTGGAAGCAGGCCTTCCTCACGACCGGCGTCTTCCTCGGCATGATGTTCGGAGCCATGTTCTGGGGCTGGTTCAGCGATAAGTACGGCCGGAAAAAGGTGGGCATCTACGGTATGGTTTTGTTGATGCTTCTCCTCCCGCAAAATGTTTCGCTGTCATCGGTGATACAAGCGTGGGTAATGCAACTTTGGACCTTTGATACGGCATTTTCAACGCCAAGATCTCTGCCGCTCTTCGGATTGTGACCGTGGGACATAGGGCTGGCAGACATGCAGCAGTCATAAGAATGTACGAGGTTTTAAAGGCTCGAAGGGCGTTAAAATAACGTTCTCATGAGGGACACGAGTGCATATTACCGCGCAGCGCAGACCTGTTACTGCAATCATGCGGTGCCCAGGAACTGTGTCAGCCTCTCACTGGCATCATGTATTTTCAGGCCCTGGTGACGTCTGGATGGTTTCTATTCTACTTCGGCCTGCTGTCTGCGTTTTCGCCGACGTACACCTGGCTGCTGCTTCTCAGAAGTACTATGGGCTTCTTTATTGGAGCCCTGGCGCAAGCGTGAGAACGTAGTGGTTTACTTCTTTTCCGTGTTCTACTTTTCGCTGGCTGGGAGAGAGACTTGCAGCACCCGCGTCAGGCGGACGCTGGTCAGGCCTGCTCCTCCTTTGGTTGCTGAGGAGCTAAGCTACGGACTTAGAGCGACTGCCTACCACAAAGCGACTAATGAGATGGCGAGTCAGCACTGTCCCTTAAATATGCGGCGAAACATGCTGAGTCGGTTATCTGATACTCTTTTTCGGTCGGTTATTTGTCGGTTTCGGTTTCGGTCCGTTGTCATTTTTGCCCACACGTGGACCATGACGAAAAGTTAACCACTGAGCTACCGCTCCGCGGACTATGGAGACTGCAACGCCTGGTGTCGAGGTTTTTGTTACTAAGATTTGCGAGCGCGCATGTTAATTAAAAACCACGTTATATAAATTGCATCACTAATCGATCCTGACTGAATATCAAATATTTCCAGACAAACATGGCATGGAGATGTTAATACACATTGTTGACCACTCGATCTGCAATCAAAAATTTCGCCTTTAAATTTCGATCAAACGTATCGATCTACAATCTACCTTTGCGATGTCCTCAATGGTCTGTAGAACGCATATAAAACATCATGAAAAGCCTTCTAAATTCTATCGGTTTAGAAAGAGTTCACTAAACGATTGCAAATCAAGGACACCGGCGATTTATTCCAAGCGGTCGTTAACCGCGTGATTTCTGCAGTTTATTGACCGTAACACGCGCTCGGGTGGGGGTGGGGGGGGGGGGGGGTAAATTGACTCGCTCCCCGAAGGCTTCCTAGAATGGTTTCAGAGCAGCGCGGCGCAGCAGCGCCATGTCTTGCATAGCTGTAGACAATTGAATAGCAGATCGTTTGGAATAAGACAACTTGGATGTACTTTGTAAGGTCGCTGACCTATGGCAGGTTAAAGTTGGGCCATGGTTTCAGCGAAGTCAACTTGTAGGGAATCGTTCAATCTGATGCAACAATTGAGTGTTAGACGAAGCCATACATCTCTGAGATGCTTTCTTAGGGAACACAAATATTGAATGAGCAAATTACGTTGACCTAAGGCCAGGTATAAAGGTCAGACCAAGGTCAAAACCAACTTGTTTTATTACCCTAGGGCTTGCTGTATGCAATAGTTTCTAGTGCTCATTTCTAATTTATTGATAGCAGTAGCCTCGCTATACATCTTCCATGAACCTCTTAGGGGTCAGAATAGGTCATTGACCTAAAATGACCTTGGTAAACATTTTGTTTTTAGAAACATACTGCCTAAAGCAATCTTTCTCGCTTATTCAAATACAGAACTCAGAACATTCTTGCATGATTTTGGTTACCATGACATTAAAAATGTCAAACAAGGTCACTGGCCTTAACTGAAAATGTAACCTTTTACTTAGAAATGGTTGTCTAGGTTCTGGGAGCACTTAAGAGGCAAACCTGGAATTTGACCTTGTTTGACCTTATTTAACCCGAAAGTCATAACCTAGAAACCTCACACTTTGACCTGAGTGAGTTTAGGTACAGGTCAACACACCCTATGGATTTGGTGCCTCTAGCTCCGTTAGTTCCTGAGATCTCAGGGGGGGTCAAACTGACCCCTCCCGAGCGCACGGTATCCAGACGGCCACCCGGGCGCGTGTTAAAGATGTAAACGGAATTGATTTCATGGTGGCTTCCGGTTTCTGTTCCGGTTACAACGTAAAAATGACAATGAAACGAAGAAAACAGTATCCATTGTTAATAAATAAACTATATCCGGGGATGCTTTTTGCGGAGTTTCATCATAAAGGAAGCTTTTATCAACCCTGTCTTCCTCTTAGCAAGGCTCTGGCTATCCCCTGCCTGCACACAAAAGCAGATCAAGTCATCTACGTTGAATGACGGGCAGTTTGCCCGTTGGGCCAAATCGTACCTAAAGTAGGCAGCTTCCCAGCTGCATTTTTCTGGGGTGGTGAGGTGTAAGGGAAGATAAGTCGGAAAAAGGTATTGATCCAGGTGTCCAACATATGTTTTACACACCAATCAGTAGTAATGATGAACCAGAAATGTGCAACAAAGCAGCCCTACGGTCAGTTCGCGGTCAGCCATTCGGAAGACAGCCGGGCCAGGACAGTGGCCGCCGATGGCGGACGATAGCAGGGCTCAGATAAGGAACATATGACAGAAGAGCCTTCATTCTGTGGGTTGGTTTTCAAAGAAAAATATCCAGTCTTATGGTTTTTATCACATTGTTTTTGGCAGTTTCAAGCTTTCGATTAGTTTCCGCCTAAAATGCTGCGACAAGTCTTATCTCTTGGAAAGAAGCCAGCGAAGTGAAAGCACATTAAAAACCTGTTGCAGTACGAGTCATCAAACTACTTTCAAAGTTCTCACCAGCCTATGTCTAAGCCGTATCTTGGCATCTACTCTGCGGAGGCAGATGCTTCCTCAATAACCCAAAATGCCCACCCGTGGAATTCCGCCTCCCAAGAAAGGCAATTTTAAAATGGACGAATTTCTTGGGAAGCTGGATGGCTTTTTGCCGAATGACACGATGAGTCGAATAGGCAAGAGTGTGCACCAGTGAGAAACAGCTTTAGATACGTATTTAGAATAGCACCCATTACATTTGAAAAAAGAGTGATAACAGCCTCCAACTGTCCCCTCCCCCCGCCCCCTCCCCGGTCACCGGGCTTGCTTTCCAGAAAAGGTCCTGAAATACGCCCTGAGCTTGTTCCCCCACTTTTTGAAACGTTCCTACGCCTATGCTCAAATCTAAAGTTTTTCACCTTCAACTGAACTCTCATATGACACCCTCATGACAAAACCACGGATGGTTGTTTCTTAGTGAAACCCATTTGGAATTAAACCGCTGCATCTGTTGTCTTATTGGAGTCTCTTACCTGTCAGTTACGAGATAGCATGTGATTGGGACATCAGCTGAGAGGGAAGCTGTGGAATTAGTGTTCGACGACGACCCGCTTCTCGTAAAAGCCTCGAATCATCTCGAAAAAGTAGTTTTATCGTCTTCCTCAGTCGTAACATAACCTGAAACGTCGGATAACTATGAATTGTCAGGTGTTTGTTTCCTCGCAGAGCAACAAATCCGACAAGTTTGGGGCTTAGTTTCGGAAACATAATCTTTAGGGTCTGAACAATAAAAAATGACGAAACTGACTGCACGAAATATTCCAGTTAGTTCTTTGGAGGGAGAGGGACGGTTGTAGGCCCCAACTGAATAAGAAACTACACCTTTTTGATAAACCTTGCCGCGCCCAACATTTTTTTTCTTCATTTACTCGAGAGGCTGCTTCAGCTGACATTAGATATGACTGTACATTAGCCTGATATGGCAACTGACATAGCACAGTACCATATCTACAAAGAAGGAAATCAGCCTGTTGCCCAAAAGCCTTTTTCCTCTTTCCTCTCCATCTGCCCTTGCAAACTTGATAAGTTTTACGTATGCCAAAAGGTTTAAGGCATGCTTGGTGGAAGTTTGAAGTGCCTTTTCTTTCTCCTCCCCAGTGGTAAGATTCTGCTTCCGCGGGGGGGGGGGGGGGGCGCTGGGAGCTTCCTTGCTGAGGGGTTGGGACCCCTCTCTTAGTCGACATGCAGAGAGCGGCTTGGGAAGGTAGGATCAAGGTTTTCGCAACGTAGGCTGCTTAGCAGCGCACCCGTTGATCTCGTTTGAGATGTTCTCAGTATCACACCAGACTTAAATGCTTTTCACTGAAAGCAGCAGTGCATCGAGTGTAGGAGTTTGTTTTTTTCTGTTATCTTGTGTTGGCTGCGCACAACTTCATGACCTGTAGTTGTTAATATCATGCACTAAAACAGTTTGTGGTTGATGCGAGGATTGGGAGATAGAAATCGATGTCAAGGTGAGATTATTTACCTGCGTGAAATATCTTCTGAGTTGGTGTAAGTTGCTTGAAACGAATATTACATACTGAAATGTATTGAAGCAACCATCAGATATGCAATAAGCTCACCTATATTTATTGGTATAGTTCCAAGTGGAAAACGCTGTTCATGATAAACAACCTCGCTGTATAGTAGAGATGCTCCTCAATGCGTCATTATTCGATTACATCGTTATACCCTCAGGACCAAGTGTCGGCCGTTATGTCTGTAAATCGTGTTCACGAACGCCAGGTATAAACGACTCGACAGCCGTGTTTTTGTGTGGCCTTGATCTCTGCATGGACAATTGAATGGCGAGGTTTGAATGACGTTATTTTGGTGTCACGGATGCCTTGGTAGCCTCGAAATAGTCTCAGCGTAATATTCTGCATATCTTCATGAGCGTGTAGCTCAGAAACTAAAGGGGTTTGGGCTTAAAAAGGGTGGGGCTGAGAACTACACTAAATGACATTCAAGGTGGATGTTTCAGTCAAAACCCCATACAAATGTGGACACTCCCTTTAAAGAGAGCGTCCCACCTTTGGGACACATTAAACAGCATGCCGTGGTAAAACCTTTTTACCAGTTACGTCTGATAAGAGCAATGAGGAGACTGATTTCAATTATTTTCCAGTCTCAATTGTGGTGAAAAGTTTCGTGACAGCGCTTCACTTTCTTCTTTCTTGTTAGCCCTGAAGTGCAGGGCTTGCTCGTGATTAGTGCAATTTTCGTGACTGCCATCGTCAAGGCAGCAGAATCTGTTAAGTACCATCGTCAGCTGCTACAGGTTAAAGGTACCACTTTGAGCCATTTTAAGCCGTACATTGTGGGCATGTCCGCGCAAAGGGCGCACCTTTGATTGCATGAATAATGCCAGTATCTCTGAACGTTTGTCATTGGCACAGGGAGCGGTGAAAGCCGTGTACCAAGAAGCGCATTGAGTGAAGACTGAGCCAGTGCATCACTGTAGACCATGTTTTTACCAGTTGCATTCAGTTATGGAACAGCATATCAGTCGGAGTGGCAGTCTTGCTTCCTAGACCATTCGGTGCGTCGGTTCAATGTCAGCGTAGTGACGGAGAGAGAGAAATGGCTGGCGTACGACTTAATATTGACAGAGATCATTTTGCCATTTTAGGTGTGTGTGTGTGTGTGTGTGTGTGTGTGTGTGTGTGTGTGTGTGTGTGTGTGTGTGTGTGTGTGTGTGTGTGTGTGTGTGTGTGTGGTGTGTGTGTGTGTGTGTGTGTGTGTGTGTGTGTGTGTGTGTGTGTGTGTGTGTGTGTGTGTGTGTGTGTGTGTGTGTGTGTGTGTGTGTGTGTGTGTGTGTGTGTGTGTGTGTGTGTGTGTGTGTGTGTGTGTGTGTGTGTGTGTGTGTGTGTGCGCGTGTGTGTGTGCACCAGTTGTTGATATCCAAGAATGAAAAGTTGTATTGTTGGCCAGGGTCCGGAATGTGCTCGTGCACCTTGTTCAATTAAACACGGTTCTGTGCAGGGACTTAAGTATTCACTCAGGACCGAACCATACGGAAATCGGAAAGTTTTAAGTTAATGTGCCAGCGATTGGAACCACCCTAGCAGTCGCGTATAGACTATGCGTTTTAAGCGAGGTACTATGCTTTAACTTTGACGTACAAGCCAACATTGAGGCAGGCTTAGAAGAATCACAGTTTTATTGTGACCACTGCCATGTCTGCCACGCGCCGATGGGACCCCGGGTTGTTTAGATTTCGCACTTAACTTTTGTCAGACACAGAGTTTGGATATTTAGCAGGTGAAGAAATAATGCGCGCAAGACATGACTGAGACGAAATGTTGTTCAGCAGCATACGGGCGATATGTGCTCGGCGTAGCAAAACGATAGCATATGGCCTAAAGAAGCATGGAAATAAAGTAGTAAATCGGTTCACGGAATTAGAAAACGACGTCAATGGTATTGACAACGCACAACAAATATTGTGCAGAACATGTGGCCAGAAAGTGGATGGAATAAAACAAACAAGATATCAAAAAATGGCAATAACAGCCTCTGGGACCAAGTGAGTGGAGGAGGGTGCAAAAACGACCAGCTGTTTTCTGAGGCGTGGTAAGCAAATGCATGCTCAAAGGACAAGTGCTGAAATTAATAATGCTGGCCAAGTGTTATGAGAAAATAAGCTACATTGACTTACTACAATGACATAAGCTCCTAAGACACTGTATGGAACACTACGAGGAGATGATCACATCCTATCAGTGCATATAAGGTACTGACAGAGGAATAATGGACAGATTTCTCGGGAGTGACCAAACCCTCTCCGAACAGGAGCGCAAGTAACACGAAGGTCCCATTAGCGGCAAAGAATGCAAGTTAGCGTTGAGCTGGATGAGCAAAAACAAGGCTCTAAGCATCACGGGATTTGCAGCGGAGTATTTGCGTACTTCTGGGATGATATCGAGAGCACCATCGCCACATGCATCAATAATATCAAGAGCGCCATAGCCACATACGTCAATGAAGCTTTCGTCGACGGTTTGTTTTCATAGCCCACGGCGGGGCATCAATACTCTGATTCCTAATAAGGTAGACCAGACCCGATAACAAAACAAAATGCCTGTAAGTTTGCTAGATATGATGCATATAGTTGTTGCAAAGTTTATGACTGCTCGTATTGGTTAAATCGTTCACAAATCTATATCTCCAGAACAAACTGGATTTATAAGGGACCGTATTCTAGGTGACAGCATAAGTTGACGGCAGATGTCATTTAGTTTTGCGATATGGATCAGATTGGAGGATTAATGATTGCATGTGACTGTCGGGCCGTGTTCGATTCGCTGGAGTATGCTTTTTATCTCTGCTCTTGAATAGTATAATTTAGGGGGCAATTTAATAACATGGGTTGCAATCCTATACGGTGACGCTTTTCTGGCCATAATGAATAGCGCGTTTACATCAAACCGATTTACGTGCCGTCGCGACAGGTTCCAGGTCTCTCCACTTGGGGGAAATTATATTTGATTTGGGAATATGGGTTTTCGCGATAAGTAGGAAAAATAATGGAAGTATTTCCGGCATCATAGTGAATAACGTAGAAATTAAATCATGGTTGCATACTGACAGCATTACGTTCTTCTGTCAGGACAAGCAATCAACAGAGATAGTACTGCGCGTCATAGATGCGCTCAGCAAAGCATCTGATGATTCACCCGCCATGGGGGGGACGGGAGGGGGGGGGGACGGGTCGCTTTAGGCGCTCGCTGTTTACTGCTGTCTGGGATGGCATGCGGCGGGTGTCAGCGACCGCATTAAAGGTCAGGTAATGTCAGAAGGCATGACGGACGTGCCGAGCATTGAGGCACGCTAGGCTTTCGCCGCAAAATTCTGCCATTGGCCCCGGATTTCACAACCGGATGGCGGAATCCGGGCTCACGACACAAGAACTGCCTGGCATGGGTGCTGATCCCAAGAATCAAATCAATGAAATATTTTGGACCCAATAAAAAAGTGTATGGAGACGGTATTGTCAAAGGCGTCGCATCCTTGCGCAGTAAAGCAAGCGCAAACCACAACTCACTAATACCAGCTTCATGTCTTGAGTGCGTAGAAGTGTTGCGCGATCGAGGTGTTCGATAGATCCAAGGATGCTAAACAGCTGACAAATGGCAACTGAGATCCTTTTTCTATTGTCGAGACATCAAATCAACATTTCGTCGTTTATGACGGCATTGTCGACGTCAGCAGCGCCATCTCTTCGCGCAGTGCAACAAGCGGGAATCGATTGTTTAAATCCCTAATTTTTAATCATGTATCTATCTGTACAATTGTCTTATTGATGACCATCTGGCTGGCTGGCTGGCTGGCTGGCTGGCTGGCTGGTTTAAGTCCGCATCACTTCAGCTGGGTACACTTCGCTGACGACTGCATGGACTGCCGTGAAAGTTATACATGCGCTAGGTCGAACTTGGTGACCATCCGCGGCATAAATGCAGGTCCGTCCGATACCGTCGTCAATCACAGCGTGCACAGGAGGGGCGGTGTGGGGCGGGGTGGGGGGGTTGCCTTGACAATAACTGGGGATTGTTTTGTATAAGTGGAATAAGCAGGCTGCGTAAGCAATAGACACCACTGAAACATGCCGCAGGGCTTGGGCGACGGTGAATATGGTGTGTCAACGTGTCCAGGCGGTTGTGAATATAAAGCGAGGCAAGCATTACGAGCTCCGCAAATTTAATCCGGGCAGCCAGCCGATCCGTGACGCGATTGATGCGGGATGCGATTTCATTTTACGTGGTTGGATAGTTGGCTATACCGATACCAACGGAGCCGGCGGGAATCACAGCGGAGCCGGCGGGAATCACAGCGGAGCCGGCGGGAAACACAGCGGAGCCGGCGGGAAACACAACCAAATGATAGCTTTTCGAGGTCCTGAGTGCGTAGAGCAGCGCGACATGCGCAATGTGTCTGAGAGACGCGTGATGTTCAGCCTTCAAGTGTGGCCTGAGATCCACTTCATGTTATTAAGGCACAGGTTAATGTTATGTTACGGGTGCCAGCGTCACTGGCTCCGCGGCGTCCCTTCGCACAGCGATACAGGCGAGTCACTTGTCTGTCTGTTATTTTAGCTGTCTAACAGTTTATGTTTATCATAATTAAGCGCTTGTCGCACCTAGAACTGTGGCGTGCACCCTCGAGTAGCCACGCTCTCGTTTTGGCAAATGCTAACAGCTCCAAGTAATAGGGGCAAATGTTTCTTGTCGACTTAGGTTTTCTGACACCTGTGGACTGTTGAATAACCTTTGTGACAAAAATGCGAGGATACTGTAATGCTTTTTGCAAGTCAAGACAAACTAAGGCGCGGAAAATTCCTTAGATTAGACCGTGGTCACTCGATAATTGTTCCATGTTGACGTCATAGCAATATCATATGGTGCTAGTTGTTCTGAGTTGATCAGAAGTACGCATAACTGAATGGCAAGCGCTGCATTATCCTTGACTTTAAATCCTATGATGTTTTGCTAAGTATTGATTTGATGATTTGATGACCTTGATTAATTGATTTGCTATATCCACACTGTTTGTCATTGTCTCATCATAGACATGTCACCTTAAGTCGTTTGCATGTGAACCTTTTATATGTGTGAAATAGTCTCGTTTAGCAGGATGCTTTCTCATTTCAGATAATTTCATAAGCGTAAAGTTTGTTCTCGGTTGGTTGGGTATTAATAAATGTCCTCTTTTTTCAGCGTAACGCTCTACTCTGAATTTCTTCCAACAAAGCAAAGAGGAAGCTGCATCTTATTTCTTAATGTGAGTGCATGCGACATAAGATAGACATCAAAAACACCCGACCTCTTTCCTGACCTTCGTTCGACACACATGAAGTTGCTGAAATGAAAAGGTTAACATGAATGGCTCATGTACAAGCGTCCAAGCGCTGCTAATGACCTGTTGAGACGCCGGCTGCGGCAGACTGGGCGGTAGCGGGTGACCCGACCCGACCAGCCATGTCCCGGACACTCGGCCCGCGGGAGTTTCCGTTGGATGTTGGGACACGCCGTGGTGTCAGTCTGGTGCTGATGTGTTCATGGTGCCGTTGTTTTTATGGTGCCAATGAATTTGTGATGTCGATGTATGCGTGGTGCCGTTGTTTTTATGTTGCCAATGGGTTCGTGATGTCGATGTGTTCGTGATGTGAATGTCTTCATGGTGTGGATGTGTTCGCGGTGCCATTATGTTCAAGTGCCAGTGTATTCGTGGCTCCGATGTGTCCGTGGTGCGGGTGTGTTCGGGGTGCGGAATATTCAAGGTGACAGTGTGTTTGTGGCACCTATGTGTTCGTAGTGCCGGTGCGTTCGTGGTACCTGTGTGTTCGTGGTGTCGATGTGTTCGTGATGGCGATGCGCCCGTAGTGCCTGCGTGCTTGTGGTGCCTGTGCTAACGCACCACATTGCGGCGCTAACTGCGCCGCCACTCGTCGCCGGCAGATGTTCTGGGCGCTGGGCAGCGCGCTGGAGGTGGTCCTGGCGCTGCTTCTGATGCCGGAGCTCGGCTGGCGTTGGCTGTTGGCCCTCTCCAGCGTCCCGCTTCTGATGTTCGTCCTCTTCTCCCCGGTTCGTCCACCTCCGGTGTAGCGCACCTGTTCACTCTTTGTTTTGAATATGCATGGTTGAATCTTGTTGGGTAGCTGTACATCTGTTTGCATCTCTGCATTTATATCCTCAACCGTTAACATATCTGCCGTCACGAGGACTCGATGGCATTCGCTCTCACCAAACCAATCCGACGTCATGCACTGTGACTGGATGAGGAGTGTCGCTTTGGATGAAGAACTCGCTTCTGACACAGCTGATCCCGGAAAGCGTCCGATTCCACGGGGCCTGCGGGCGCCCTGACCTAGCGCGAGCCGCCATTGACAAGATGGCCGCCGCCAACGGACGGCCCGCGCCGCGCGGTCAGCTGACTATTGACGACACGTCATCAGAGCGGCGCGGCCATGTGTGGGAGCTGCTGTCGCCGAAACTTTGGTGGACCACGCTGCTGCTCTGGTGCATCTGGTCAGTACACTGCATTCTCAGCCCCACTAGGGTGAGGTCAGCCTATGGGTGCACTGTGGAGTGCTCCATCGGAAGCATCTGAGCCGCAACATTCCAGCCGCGTTGTTCATCAAGTCATTCATTCACATGCTATGGGCTGCTGTGGCTCAGCGTCTTTGGCCGCATTTTACCCTACCATACTGCGTGGCAGAACCAACACTCCGCACGAGGTCCAGCAAGGATCCACACGAAAGCTGACCCTGATGGTTACCGCCAGATGTCAGAGGACGTGGTTCCTCAGTAACACAAACCACAATATCCAAGAGCATTAAGCTAAGCTAAGTTGCGCGTCTGGGAAACCAGCGACAAAAGGTTCGATTATTATCGGTGCTCTTCTTTCTTGCCAGCGCGGAACTGCGAGCTCCCCCCATCGCGACTCAGCCCATGCTGTCGACGCCCCTCAGGGAAGCGTGACCAATGCTGTAGCCAGAGGGTCACATGGGTTTCCACTTATCTGCGACCCTACAAAAATATAAAACGCTGTCAAGGACCACTGCTTTTGACTCCTAGTGCTCAATCTTAAGTGCGCAACTCTCGTTGCATTAGTCTCCGTATGATTCTGAATTGCCTGGTCCTGTGATCCCCAATTCCGTCTGGCATTAAATAGTTTTTTTTTGCCACCTGGCATGATAACAACCGGCATGTTTTCGCAACCCGCTATTTCCGTTAGCTCCATATGCGATCAGCAGGAGCATTCGCAACGCTGGTGTATCGTGTAATTGCGTGAGAAAAGCTTGAAACTGCCAAGAGGCCTTGGCAACGAGGTTTGCACAAGATGTCGGATCTGTTGTTTTGTTGGGGCAATGCAATATGATGGATTAGTGAAGTGCTTCAAATCACTGCCACAAAAAAGCGGAAAAAAGGCTCTAAGTGAAATAAAGTTTGCAACGTATCTTATCGACAAAACCAGCCATACAACAGTTTGTTTATGACGAGGAAATATCAGCATTTCTCGTTTTTGCTCTTGAGCAGCAGGCATTCTGGGTTCCACGATGGGGCGGTGGAAATGCCATTTGAGAGTGAATTGAATCAGTGGCCGCCAGCAAAACCTGTGGATTGGTGGAGTGACGGATTGTGAATTTGGACAAAACGTAAATGTTCGGGCCACAGCACCTCAGACAGATATACACATAAATCATCACTTAGCGCATCCCAAGACAGCGTCTCAGACGAGAGATTCATGCTGACTAACGTCACCTAGCGCGACCCAAGAAAGGATTGTCTGCTGTGACCTGGTCTGGTGGGAGCGTGTTGGGCACGCGTTTCAGTGCCGGATTCGAGCCCCAGGGTGTGTGCGATGTTATGCTCGGCCCCAACGGACGGCTCTCAGCAGCTTGCACGTGGTGGCGCGAGCTCTGGATTGACGAGTTGTTTTCTTCGACCGTCGACAAAGACCGCTGACATGTGGCCAGAACAGATTCAATCTGATCTGTGCGGCCGTGATGGGAATCTGACTGACGGCGAAAAATATGCTAGAAACGCACTAAACCTGGCCATCTTGACCCGTGCGGCCGTCGGCGTGTTGTGCGCAGGGGCGGATCTAACGGGAAGGGGGGGGGGGAGCGCGTGGCCATGACCCCTCTTGGGCCTCGGAGGAGCCCGTGGACTCTGAAGGTGTCCCATAGCCTGCCGAACAGATGCAGTTTTTTACACAAAACAACACGATTGGACACCTCTGGGCTTCCAGGCGACGAAGAACACGCATGCGAAAGTGAAGGACAAACAAAAACAAACACGAGCAGCCAAAAAATAATTATTCACTTATTGGAAGTGACGATTGAAAAAGCTTAAGGTGCAGTGCATTAGCGGGGAACATTACTCACATATATAGGACAGTACTATTAGCTTTATTCCTCGGAAAAACCAAGAC